AATGCAAAACAGCCGGGTTTTGTGCTACTCTGTCGCACCAAAAATGCGCCGGGACTTTGCCGCGACAGCACCTCTAGCGAGATCTCACGCGGGATACCGGCTTGAAACCATGCAGCGCCCTTCAGCTCGTGTTGCTCTGCCAGGCTGAGATTGTCGAGTCGAAGCGGCGCGCTGGGCGCAAACATCTTTGGGCTGGAGTTGGCTGCGTAAAAATTAAAAAAAAAGTTAATAGTTAAAAAAATAAATAATAATGCCTTCCTGTTGCCTTACCACTGCACGTCTCTCGCAAATATTTCTTCTTATAGCTGAATTCGGTGTGCTCTTGTAGGCCGATATGCGCTGCTTCGTGAGTTGGCAGTGCGGTCAAAGATTGCCGACAAGAATCGCCGAACTTGTTGGTAATCATTTTCTCCGGTTCACAGATCGCTTCGTTCACGTAACCATCGGAGATAGTTTGCGATGAGCCTGAATTGAGTGAGGATGAGGCTGTGTGTACAAGCGGTCGACTGTCTTCGGTGCCGCGCAGCAGACCCATACCCATTGTGAGGCGTTTGACCTGAAAGCAATAAAAGAGAAGGATTGATAAAATGCGATGAAGATGGAATATAAGTAATAAAAAAAGAGGAAGGGTGATATTTAAATTTTGTATACTAAGCTCAAAATAGGAATCTGGCCACCTATTACTACCACCAAATTGGCGTTACATCAACATAACCAATTTTGACGGAGATAAAACAAACCGGGCCAGTGCTGTCTTCTTCCATATGTTTTTCCAACGTATATGATCCAATCCTCATCCTATTCTATTGTATATTTTGGCTTCAAGTATTTGCGTCGATTCGTAAGACGTTATCCATCCAGCGGAGTCGCGCAGAGCTCCGTATAACTCAAGATGAATCTTACTCCCGAATACTCTCAAAGACCGCCTCACTAAATGTAATCCTTTTCTCGCGGGTCCTTCCCAGGAGTTGCCGTTAGTTAAATACCAGATCTGTGGTTGATTCGTCAGGTTTATAGCCACACTGCTAAAACCGAAACAGTTGGTGACGGTGGGATTTAGTCTTTCGCACAATGCTCTCGATAGGATCTTACAAGGAATATTCAGATCGCTGCGCCTACCGTAATTGGTGCATATTGGAGGGTAGTTTTCGAAATTCATGATTCCAATCCACCACTTTTGCCAAAAACTGCCAGATCCTGGCTATAACATATGAATACTTCAGTGGGCAAACCATCGGCTTCGGCAGCTACGTTATTTTTCAAGCGACCTATTGCTAATTTAAATGTGCACTGATCGAATAGTGGAAATAAATTTCTTCAGCGCCGAACGGTGGGTCATGGTTTCAACTATTTCCGCCGCTAGTAGCACTTAACAGGGTGAAGGAGTTAAGAAGAAGCTTAAGTCAGTATAGAAGAAGTTAATAAAAACCAAATCTGTTTTTATGTTATAATCTGTAAACATTGTTTTAGTGCGACGAATAAAAACAAACGCCCAAGATATCGTCAAGAAAAATTTATTGAGCCAAAATTTTTTAAGCAGTATGGAGAGCACAAGACCCCCTTGTTTCAATATCTACATATGCCCGTTCCATTATTTCGTAAGGAAAAAGTGAGACAGCAGGCTGTAAAATATCAGATGCCAAAACTCCTTCGACACTACTACTTATTCACACACACACACACACACACACGAAATAACAGCAAATTTATTTCTTCTTAATCGTTTTCTTAAAAGGTCCGCACTTTAGCATTTTACATTCAAATAAGCACGATCGTTAAAATTGGAAAACCTGAATAAGCAAAATAAGCAATTCCAAGCAAAAGCTTAAACTTTTCGGCCCTGATTATAGCCATTTACCAAACCTGATTAAGTACAAATATATTTTAATTAATTCTAAAATCAAATAGGTGAGAACTCTCCTGCGCCTGTTGGTGTAAAGTTTGCTACCTAAGTTTGAAAATATCTATCATTTAATTACAGCAACCATTTTATTAATCTCAGATTGATAGAGTATCTCATTACTTACTTCACAGAATTAGATTTAATATGTAAATAAAATCCGTAATTATATACCCGTAAATAAAAACAAATTAATTCCAATAAACTACTTATATGTACATATGTACGTAATCAGTTCGATTTCTCATTTCAAATGCAAATAGCACCAGCTCCAGAGGTTTCAGCACTCTACATCTGCAGCTGCTAAAAGTTTTGCGTAATTCGACGACTTCACCTGCAAAATTGCAAAAGTTTCAGCGTGTCAAATTCGTGGCTAACCACAAACGCACAAAACTTTCGCACCAAATGCATCGATTGCGTGTTTTTTTTGTTCATCACCTCTCTTTGGATTTATAAACTTACCCGGCGAATGAATGAGTTTGGGGTGTTGAAATTACTAAAACTTTTGGGGTTTTTTGATTTTCGTTTGGTTTTTGATTGTGGCTGCGTGGTTGTATTTAGTTCAGAAGTTTTAAGGTATTGAATCTGCAAAAGTAAGTTAGCGTGATCGAAACGGAATCACTTAAAAATTGATTTATTGAATGCGTGAAAATTGCTAGGGTTTAAATTTCGAGGTGTTATGATGACCTAGTGAACTTTTACTAGTGAAATTTTGGAAATATTTGTCGGCATATTACTATTTATATACGTAAATATGTATGTACATATATATTATTACAGAAAACTTAAGTTCAAATTTTCAATATGGATAGAAGGCATTTTGGTAGGCATCCATGCCGGATATCATTTTGGTTATTCGATTATATTTATCAGATGCGAAGTAGTAGGTCACAGTTTGACCGCAGATGTATCCCAAATAAAGCTGCGGTTCCCAAATCTGGAATTAAACAAGTAAGAAAGTCTACGTTCGGGCGGAGCCGAACATTAAATACCCGGCGCAAGTATTAAATATATGTTTTTTCACCTTTCCGAAAGCTACCGCTAGATGGTAAGCCGGGGTGTATCAATTTTGAGTAAATTAGTGACTACGCCCATTTTCCAAAAATTTATAATATTCTTATTTTTCGTCTAAAAATTATTGTAAATATCAATTTTGAGTGAATTATCTTCAGTAGTTACTAAAATATCGCAGTTTTCGTATTTCTGGAAATTACCGTTATATGGGAAGTGGGCGTGGTTAAAGTCCGATTTCGCCCATTTTCAATACCAACCTACCTTGGATTAAGGGAAACCTACATACCAAATTTCGTTGAGATATCTCAATTTTTGCTCGAGTTATCGTGTACACGGACGGACGGACAGACGGACAGACGGACGGACAGACAGACATGGCTTAATCGATTTCTTTTTTCATCCTGATCATTTATGTATACATTTGTCTATATCTATCTTGATTCGTTTTGGCTGTTACAAACAACCGTTATGTGAACAAAATTAATATACCCTTGTGCACAAGTGCGCTCGGGTATAAAAATAAAATAGAAAGAGGACAGAGAACAGATGGATACAAGATGGATAGGCCTCCATTAGGGTTATTTGGCCTTTACCTACTCCTGTAAGACGAGGTACTGTTTACAAATCAACAGATACCGAATTCCACGGACGTTTTGGGTTCAATATCCTGTTTAGGTTAGGTGTTAAGTCGTACCGATTTTTTACAGAGTCCGGTTAGAACTTCTGTCTTGGCTGAGAGTTATTTCCTAGACAGCTGAAGATGTCTCTTTAACGACTTTGCAACCTCGCTGACTTAACGCCAATTGGAAATGCGAAGTGAAGCCATGTTCCTTCTTTACTTCGTCTTTCCATCGCAGTGGGGGCCTCCCCCTCTATATCATTGTAAAGCTCATACAGCTCATCATTCCATCGCCTGCGATACTCGCCGTGGCGAAAAGCCCCCTTTGACAAAAACCACTTGAGCATGTTCAAAATGGAGATATGTATGTATATGCACATATAAAATTTTTCTCGCGTTGCTCCAACAGTCGCAATGGTCGAGTGAACAGAACATGGCGTGCTATTCGAGAGATCCGGCGTTCGAATCCTCAGGGAGGGGATTTTTTTAATAAAATTTTAAATTTATTCTTTAATTCAGTTTTCTTTTAATTTTAAATTTAATTTTTTCATTTTATTTTATATTTAAAATTTTGTCTTTGGGTGCTTTTTTTTTAATTTTTAGATTTTATTGTTTAAAAAACAAAAATTTATTTTTTTTATTTCATTAAATGTTTAGAATTTTGTTTTATTTATTTTATCTTTTTGTAAATTTGATTATTTATTTCTAATTTTCTCAATTTTTAGATTTTATTATTTTAAAAAGAAAAATTGTTTTGTTTAATTCCACTTTATTTTTATGAACTTAATTTAATTTTTTCATGAATTTTATTCTTTTTAATTTAATATTTAAATGTTATTGTTTTAAAACGAATAGTTTTATAAACATTTTTCTAATTTTTTGAAACTTGCTTTATTTATTTTTATTATTTTAATTTTTAAACTTTTTAATTTTAAAGTTTTTAAAATTTATAGATTTTATTGTTTCAAATGGAAAAATATATCTTTTTAATTTAAACTTGTTTATTGATTGCCTTTTTTGTTTTTATTTAATTTTCTTTCTTATTTTTTTTTTTAATTTTCTTTTAATTTTGCCGTTCGGAAGACTGTGTTGAGTTGAAATAGAATTGGCAGAATTGCCCTGTTTTTGTGCATAATATATTGAGATACATATGTATGTGCTTAGCCTGCTATAGTTCCTTTCCCAACTCAAAAGTGATTTTCACAAAAAAAAAAATAATAAAATCAATTGCAAGGCACACAAAATTTTTAATATCTCCAAAGCAAGTTTGTTAAAATGACACCAAATTCAAATCAAAAATTAATGATACATATTAAAAAAGTTAAATCGCTGAAAAACAATTCCAACCAACTTTTCACAATTCGCGCTCGAGTGCATTCACACTAGAAAATTGCTCCTACATATAAACAAAAGTGCTTTATCTTGCAAATAATGTACTATATACGTATGTATGTATGTCAACTGCAGGGATGTGCCTCGTAGCGCGGAAGGCAATACTCCAAATTTCAACACTACTGGCGTAAACTTTTCTTATAGTTTTTCACATTCAATTACACAGCAGGCAGTCGTACTTACATACATATGTAACTGTCTACTAACCAGCATACAGATTTCGCAGAGAAACTTACTAACTTTATGACACACATAAATCTCGGCGATAAAAGTGTTGTAAAAAAATGCTTAACCAGAGACACAACCGAAAAACTTTGCGAGCAAACAAAACAAAAGCCTAGAAATGCGAGTTAGTAGAATTAAATTTTACGCCTGTAAATGACACGCGGCGCAGAAAACAGAGAAAAGCGGAAAAAAAGCAGTAAGTGCATTGCGGCAGGCCTGCACATTGTCAGAGTGCAGCAAGAAGCCGAGAACAATACAGATGTGAATTTTTGAATTGGAATGCGAATGCGAACTTGTGAATGTGAATGTGAATGGCATTGTGTGACGCCTTTTTCTTGTCGGCAATGGCAAAAAAGCTAGTAAACTCAAAGCGCACAGACAACGGGACAAAGGGAGGTGCAACTTGC